GTGGATATGGATGAAGGCGGGAAAGGAGACCCAGAAAAGTCCAATCTTGCTCTCATATTGAAAGCACTGCAGAATGCATCGTCTAGTGGGTTCACAACTCACGCCTTTGTGTGCTTGTCCTCTGACTTTGGTCTTCCACAGCGACGAGAACGCTTGTATATCGTTGGAGCCAACAAGTCCATGTTCCCTTCGTTTGATGTACGGAAAGTACAACGGCTGTTGTCTAGCTTCAAGCTGCCGTGTCAGCCTCCAGACTCTTTGTTGTGATTCATGCGCCATGAACAGTTTTTAACTACTGCAATCTATTTTGGTTGTCAAATGGTGCCCCTATTGCTTACAAACTTCAAACTTCTGTGGTTTGCTGTGTTTCCATTCATTTAGGAAGACTTTCTGCGCGGCGATGATGATGAGACTGTGGTTGATGAACTGCAGCGACGGGAGGATGTCAGGGCTAAGGCCAAGACGGATGAAGCCCAAGCGCAGGGTAATTCAGAGGATGAACTTGAAGGGTGCACAAAGGTCAAAGCTCCAGGAAAATGGAAGGAAATGCATATGCAGATCGCGGAACAACGTTTCTTGACCTAGCTGATCTTACTGTACCTAGTTACTGTTTACTGAACTTGGACAGCGCTAACACTAACAAACCAAGGTCAAATGAAATGGCCACTTGAAGTTCCCGATCGTCTCAAGGATCATTCTTGGTTTGAATCGTTGCCACCCCGAGAGAGGGAAGCTCTTTGTCAAAGATTAGATTACTGAATTGAAGTTGAAGTCAACATTGAAGTTCACACTCATGTTTGCCCAAGGCGGTCCTGTTTCTCCTGAATGAAAACGCAACGAATTCCAGAACTGGCAAAGAACAGCTTCGGTTCGCAGATTTGTATCAGTCTTCCAGTCGGATGCCTTCAAGTCTGTCATTTGTGCCTTTGACGGATTAGAATCAGAATTATTTGAATGGAAGAGTGCAGCTAAACATAGCTATGCTAGAGACTCGAGACTAATTGTTTGTTGAAATTTTTAACAATTTTAACGTACAAGAAACATCTGCAGCTTTTGGTTTTGAGACGCTTCAGGAGGTTCCAACGATTTTGCCAAGCAGCCCCGTCTGGGATATGTCTCGAGAGAGACTGCTGGTTGGAAGCTTGGCTAGGTTATTCAGGTTCCAGCCCAACAATTGGATTCGATTCATTATACTAACTCACCTCACTATTTGCATATACTATAGTAATATATATATGTTAATATAGACTAGTGACTAAAGTATATGTGTATATATATTATATTGTTAGTCAATGCCAGCTGTTCCAATCCCTATGCAGGTGATGAGTTGCTTCATCTACAAGGGCTGCAGCTCGACCCGGAGACATCTTGTCAGCTTACTGATGCTCAAAAGCGGGACTTGGCAGGTAATTCGTGACTGAGCCGCAAAGGATTATCACGGTCACTGTATCTTTTACTATGAAGTCGGACATTTGAAATCGGAAACATTGTTCAGTTCAGTTCCGTTCCGTTCCGTTGTTGAAATAAGAAACAAAATGCAGGTTTTCATCAACGGTTTGCTTGGCAGTGACCCTAGCCGTGATCCTGTCTTTGGACTTTTGCACTGATTCAGAGCAAGAAGAGGAAGACCAAGTTGAAGCACTTGTGCGCCAGTCTCCTGGTTAAGTCTCTTCAAAGTTGTCAATGTGTCCTAATGTCTTTTGAGGTCTCTTCACTTATGAACTGTCCAATTTGAATTTGACTTGCTGACCCGTGATTGGTTCAAGTTCAAGTGAAGTTTGGCTATCTCAGGCTGAAGCGTCCACGTCATTGAGATGACAAACAGACGACATATGATGCTGAGGGGAGCTTCTTTTCACTTCGTCTCACCAGATTGTCCAAGTATATCTGCCCGAATTGGACCAAATTTCTGACAATGTAATCGGCGCTTCTTGGACTTGTACAATTGCACTTTGATCTTTGCACCCGTGCAAGGTGGCCAGAAAATAGCTAAATGCTTTGTTGTAGCTTGTGTGGATAACACTGTTCACCCTGGACTGGACCAATACAATTAAATATCTGTTCAGTGCCCTCCTCAAAACATCCTTGGACTAAACCCCTGCACCTTACAACCGCACCCTTCCATCATGCCCCGCACCTCACAACCGCACCTTGCATCGCGCCCCGCACCCAACAACCGCACCTTTGCATCGCGCCCCGCACCTAACAACCGCACCTTTGCATCGCGCCCCGCACCTAACAACCGCACCTTTGCATCGCACCGAGCACCTCATAGGCGCACCCTGGCACTGCACCCCGCACCTCACAACTGCACCCATACCCCGTAGCCAGTTTGCCAGTCCCTCCAGAGCATGACTCTTGAACTTTGCTAACTTGAATCAGTTGTGTTTGAGCAACAACGTGCATTCTGAAGAAGTCTGCCTTGCGCGAAGCAGCTCCTAAATCCTAAAGGCATTTTTCGTCCCTAACTCTTGAGTTAGAAAAGGCAAACTTGTGGAATGAGCGACGGTGCGTGTCTCAACCTCAGCACAGGTCTGATACACACAGCTGGCACCAAGCAAAAAAAGGGGTAACTGCCTTGTGGAACACCGGGAACACCGGAGTTGAATGTTCATCCGTCCTTTTCAGCGGAAATGTTGACCGGAAATTGGGCATCTTCCTGATGATAAGTCACAAAAAGCGACTCAGGGCCCTCTGTCCTTACAGTAATTTCGCACCATATGGAATTCCGCGGTGGTTGGCCTAGCCTGGGCGCACGGTGGCGCTTTACATTTCCCATTGCCACTCTCACCTCGCACCCTGACCGTGCTGGAATTTGTATCAGAACTCAGGCCGAACGCCTTTGTGTAGAGCCGTGCTTTGGACAAAGTTGGGGCGGAACATAGCGTGGGCACAGCTGTAACAGGGTCAACACGTCGACAGCCTTGACATGCCAGTGGCTGCCTGTGTGCAAGCAGCAGCCCAAGCTCAGGTTCGACGAATGTTTCTGCTGCTGAGTCCTGCGCACTATGAGGACTGGGTTTCTGACTCGCTTAGCTTCCCGTGGCCCCTGAAGTTTTCACATGTTCCTTTAATTTGGAACCTTCTTGTTTCAATTCGGCCATGAGGTGAATTGCGCGACTTTCACAAGCTTTGATTTGCCAGGCGCTGATGGAAGCCTTCAGGGAGTGGAAACTTCCACCGGCCACAGTCATTGTGAAACAGGCTTGAATTTGTGTCAGCGTGCCCCAAAAACCTTCTACCGAAAGGGCCTTTCGTGCCACAAGGGATGGCATGTGAATCTAGGAACAAGTGCCACGCTAGTAGTAACAGGTGCCTTACTAGTAGAAACAAGAAGC